AATTTCGTTTTCGCCTCCACCAACTTGCAGTCTCAGATCTGCGAAATTCAGTTTCTTCGGTTTCTCCTTCTGATTTCTTCTTCAGCTCTAGCGTAATTCTTGGTGAATTCTTTCTCATTTTGATCATTCTTGGCGCTTTACGGCGTTCGTATACCGGAATTTTGGAGCCATTTCGGGTTTCTGGGATTCTGGTGTCTGAATGATGTGGAGCTCAATAGCTAATTTGAAGGAGAATTTGAATAAGATAGCCCTTGACGTGCACCATGACGACGACGAAGGGGAGTTCCCGATCTATGGTTCATCGGCATACAATGGGGGAGATGGTGATGTTTCCGTATCTGATCGAAGGAACTCGCATAGCTTCGCTCATTCGAATTCGGTGGCGAGGTCTCCGATTGCGAATGGGATTGATGATACTCGTCACGCTGAGGTGCCTAATTCTTTATGGACTTGGTTTATTGTTATTGATGAATTGTGGGAAGGTGCTGCATTTTGCTTTTTAGGGGTTTATGGGAGCGTTATTGTGAATCAGCTTAGTATAGTTTGTTGTAGAATTTCTAAGGGATTATATGTTAATTGAGTTTCAGTTTCAGGTTTCTGAGAGAGCTGAATAGTGGGCTTGGCTTGAGGGAGTGCTTGATTACAAATTACGACCGCCATTTTTAGCTAATTATTAACTAGTGAAGTAGTGATTGCATTTGATTTTTTTCATTTTTCATTTTAAGTAAGGTCTAAGGTTTAAAGCTTAAGGCATGGTGCACGGCATTTCTTTCGTACGATCCCTCTTTTACCATGATATATTGCTTCTGGTTCTGATTTCAATAAATGAAAGGAGTAATATGTTGGTTTTGAAAATAGCAACGCATTTTGGATAAGCTGGTGCTTTAGACCATTGTTGCTTACATGGTTAGTCATGGTGCTTATATATATATAAATCAAGATACTAACTTTTCATTGAAGAAATGAAAAGGAGCAAGAAATCTTGAAAGATACGAACTCTCGAAGAGTGAAAGGTAATGCAAGAAAAGAAAAAAAAGAAAAGAAAGAGAAACACAAAATACAAATAAGGATGCAAGATTAGGGGAATAATTTGAAAAGGAATCAATAAGAGAACACCGATGAGAAACCTTGAACTTAGCAAAATTAAGGCATTCAATCATAGATCTATGTTTTCCTTCGAAAATCCTCAAGTTTCTCTCAAACCATAACTCCGAATGATAACTTTTCACAGCATTAATCCACAAAACCCGAACCATGGAGGATGAATGAAGAAGCCCACAAAGAGTCAGAACCATGAATATTCTCCACTAAGAAGGGTTCCCCTTTCTTCATGGTGCTCTCTTTGATATGGATAAAGCATATAATGTCGTCATTTTTTGTATTTCTCATTTTTCTCAATGAAAAGTTTGATTTCTCAGGGGCTTTTGAAAGTTAAGGTTATTGCATACTTGGAATCATTAATCTTGGAAAGAAGAACAGCTTCAATTGTTTTCAAGGGGTCATCCTGGAAACAAATTTAAAGAAAAAGAGATACAACTTCTAAAAGATAATTATACGAAACTTTTCTTTTTCAAAATTTTGTTCTAAAAAGTAATTGTTTACAAACAACACTTAGTAATTTGTTCATTAGGGCTTTCCATAATGTGTCACATGGGATACCCCGGCTGGCAAGGGCTTGGGATCTCTTAGTCATACTGATTTAGAAGTCTCAAGTTTGAACCTTCCGCTGAGCTTAATACAAAAAATCCTTGATGTCTCCTGGGTCCGGACCTTGGGACGGGCGCCGGTGCCCCTGGGTATAGAAGAGCAAAACTCTAACTCCGAGTTATCAAAAAAAAAAAAAAACAAAGAAAGAAAGAAAGAAAGAAAAAAGAAAACATGTCACACACTTTAGGTTTATTTTGTCAAAGTGTTATGTTATGATACTTGAAAATCTTGAATTGAACAATAATTTCCAATATGTGAAGCGTTAGTATTATTATTTCAATTGTGTTTATTATACACTGACTGGAATTTTTATATTGTGGCCTGGAAGTGGTGTACGCATTTATGGTTTCAATGTTTATTTTCTTGCATCCTAAGAGCTCTAGCTCCATCAAGAAAAAAAAGGGAAAAATTTTAGGAGCTCTTGAAACTTATAGTGAGCTGCTAGTCTTTTATTTCAGTTCCACTAGCTGGTAATGCACCTTATAATTATGCCAATTGTATGTGGGAGGGACGTCTCTGGTTTGTATTTTTTCATTGCTTGTGTTGGAACTCGTAGAATACTCAGGTTCATCATTTTGCTACTGTGAGCCGTTATTTTTTACTTGCCTATATCTTCATGCTTTGTTTTCCTCGAGTTTCCTTTGAATCCTTTAGCTTTAAATCTTCTTTTTTGATAGACTTTAAATCATGTATGGTGCTTTCAATTATTGTGCCTCTTGTAGGTTGAACAATACAAAGCAGAAATTAAGAGGCTTCAGGAATCTGAGAGGGATATTAAATCATTATCAATGAATTATGCAGCTTTGTTAAAGGAAAAAGAGGTACTTCAATTTCTCTTTGGATTTTACTTCAATTATAGTTATATTTCCTTGCTTTACAGAGCCATCTCCAATGAATTTCCAGGTATTGTGTTTGTAGTAATAGTTACTAGATGCTGTAAATGATTTTCTTAGCTTGCATTTTGCTAAGGGCAACTACGCAAAATTAACCTTGGACATACACAGACACACATGCACAACACATTTTTACACATATTTATCAGTGTTGAGGTAATATATTAAGTACCATTGGATGTTTATTGTCATTTCCTGTTTCATATCCATTTGGCAGGAACTAATCTTACGACTGAACAAGGAAAATGGCTCACTAAAACAAGGTTTGGATGCCACAAATGCAGCAACAAATTCATCTAGAGATGAAAGTTCCAGATCATTAGCAAATGGAATTAATGAAGTGAAGGTACTTATTGCAATGCAATGCAGATAGAAAATTATAAGCTTGATAGGTTACTATATGTGAGTGCCAGCGGGTAATTGGTTTTGTGGTTGTGTGTGTGTCAGAATTGTGACATTTTTGTCAATGGCATTAAAATGTTATTCCAGTCCCTGATTTTTCTTCAATGCCTCTCATTGCATGAAAAGATGTTAAATGATATTTGAGGATGTTAAAATTATGTTAAATTTCATCTCCTCAATGATATTGTTTCTTATAAAAAACCAAAAAGAAAAAAAAGAAAAGAAGAGGATTTGCCTGGTATTGCTCTTTGGTCAAGCAACGAGAATTTGAGGCAAAAATCAACAAGCCTTTGTCTCTGAAAGATAGATCATGGATCCTATCTTGAGCTGGTGCTTGAATTCAGAACAAAGAAGCAGAATGGGTAAGTTTTCAAGCTTGATCTGGAGAAGGTTTATGGCATGGTAGACTGAGAGTTCTTTCTTGAAACCCTCCATAAGAAAGGTTTTGGCCCAAAAGGGATAGTGTGGATTCAAGGGTGCATTACAAACACTGCCTTTTCTATTTTCATTAACGGGAGGCCTAGATGCATCATCAAAGCCTCTAGGGGGTCTTGTCTCCCCCTATTGGCTCATTTTGTTTGTTTGTGTTATTGGTTGATGTGTTGTAGCTTGTTGGAAAAAGGTATGAGAGAACGGTTTGAATTGATAACATCCGCCTAAACCACCACCAATTTGCAGACAAAACCCTCCTTTTCTTGGCTAATGATTACGATAAACTAAGCAACCTAAGGGAGATGGTCAAGATATTTGAAGCCCTATCTGGTATCTGGATCAATTTGTCTAAATCTCTCTTGGCTGGTCTTAATGTGAATGATGAGGCCTTGCTTCTTTGTGGGGTTGTGAGGTTGGATCCTGTCCTCTTTCTTATCAGGGAATGCCATTGGGCTGGAGAGTAAATGATTTGCAGTTTTGGGAGCATTGATATTAAGGTTGCTAGAAAATTAGCAAATCTGGAAGAACTTAACCCTCTCAAGTGGTGGAAGGTTGACTTTTGCGATCATGGTTCTTTCAAACATCCTCCTTTAACTACACAACCATCTTCAAATGTCCTACCAAGAAGCTGGATATAATGCTTGGCAACTACTTTTGGAGAGGCAGCAAGGAGGAGGAAGCCGCTAGCCTTATCAATTGGAAGAATACCTCTTTGCTGTTTTCTAAGGGTGGGGTTGGTATTTAGGGTCTCTCTGCAAAGAATTCAGCTATCTTAGCTAAGTAGTGATGAACCTTACTACACAACCATGTTTTTTCTTATTAAAAAAAAAAGTCTTCATGATGGTTGGGCTGTGTTCTTTCCTTTTCTGCCTATTTTTCTAGTTTTATTTCTCTGAATGAGAGGTGATTTTTTCATCATTAAAAAAAAGGGAAAGCAAAGAAAATTGGGATGATTATCTGGTCTCCAACAGATTATTTTTGGATAAGAATGGAAGTTCTGTGGAAAAAAAAAAGAGAAGGCACAGAGAATGGGTAGATATGGTCTCCTATAAATTTTCAATATTATAGTTTTTAGTACAGCAAAGTGCACTAATGCCCTAGTTCCCATTAGACTCTACAATTAAGCGTGTTTGGGTAATAGTAATAGTAATTGCAATACAATAGTAATTGCAATACAAAGTTGGGTGACCACTTGGAAAATCCTCGTAAAAAAAAATAGAGTTTTAGTATTTCAGTCTTTTAGATATGTGAGCTGATATAGAAAACATAAAAATGTATTAGCTTTCCTCAAACAAGCTGTTAAATATTATTCTTTAATCAGTACAGTCATCATAGCCATTGGAAGATTCAAAAGATATTTTGCATGCAGAAAGTTCTAGATGGTTTTTGTGGGAATAAGGAACGGACTTTACATTTGGATACATCTGAGTTTTGGAATATTTTATATAATTTGGAGTCATGATTGCAAGGTAAAGATATATATATTTTTTTTCTCGTGTTGTTATTTTATACTATATTTCTTTTTCTTCTAAAAAGGTTATCATGATGTCATGGCCAAGTATCATGTCCTTATAATTTTTTTGGATATATTTTTGCTTTTTCTGTGTTATCTATATTTAGATAATTTTGCAGGGAAGCAATGATCAATCACCTACCTGGCTGCTTAGAGGGAAGAACCGACGTAATGTTATTGTGGCTAAGCAGGATGGAATTACCAATGGAGCTTCACACATTGGTCAACCTGATTATCAGAGTAAGATGGTACCAGAACATTCAAATTCACCGTCACAGGTAAAGGATATGGTAATATAACTCTTTTACCTCCTGTTGCAGAGAGCATTTATACCAATTTATGCAGAGAATATTTAATAAATTAACAGCCTTATGTATATTTTGGATTTTTAATCATTATATAATAATCTTAAATTAACGGTCATGAGCTGGCCTTTGGTCAAGAAAGGGGGCAAGCTATATGCTTTTGATGTAATAGAATTAATTTTATCAGTCACATGATATTAACAAATTTTCATAATCCGAATGTTGCGAAGTTAAAAAGACTTGAAGAAATCTTGCAAAACTTTAGCAATCATAATCTTGCAATTATCACAATGTACTTGAATATACATATTATCTGAGATAGGCCATGATTCTATTTCCTTTCAACATTATTACCAATAAGAAAAAGCTCGGGAACTTTGGTTATAGGGGAGCAAAGCTTCGACTCCCAGTTATAAAAAAAAAAAACCTGGGAAATTGATTAGAATTAAATTATGATTTTAAATTTTTTGGTAATTAAAATTTTTTTACGGGGAATTGTGATGGGTGGCAAATAGTTTTACCGTATTTACAAATATAGCATAAGGAATAAAATTTTTCAAATATGAAAATTTGTAGGGTGAGTGTCTATATCTAATGAAGTAATATGTCAAATAATAATATTAGTGACTAGACATCACTAATAGACCTTGATAGTGATAGACACTAATAGACGTGCGGGAGATAATAATGGATAAGTAAAAGGCTCGGAGGAAATGATTTTAAATTATGATGGCCATTTATCTATGATTTAATATCCTTTGAGCTTTCTTGGTTACCAAATATGGTAGGGCTACGTGGTTGTTCCATGGGGTTAATTGAGGTGCGCACAAGTTGGCCGGAACACTAGCGTATATCTAAGAAAGAAAAAAACTTCTTTGATTGTGATAGAAACTACATGTTGGTTTCCATACTAGGCCCTAACCTAACAAAACAAGAAAGACCTCCAATCCCAAAGGCCTAGCAAATTATTTTTTTTTTGTTTGAACAAGATACGAACTTCTCATTGAAATAATGAAAAGGTACAAAATTATTCAAAGATTCAAACTATGAAAGAGTGAAGATATAATTGAAACATAAAATTAAAAAATCTGAAAAGATGCCACAAAAACTCACCATTTAGAATAAATAATTATATAATTCTTCTAGAAGCTCAAATAGAGGCATTAAACATGACTAAGGTTCAGATCTCCTCCTAAGATATTTCCATTTCCATAAAGATTCTATGTTTCTCTCAATCCAGATACTCCAAAAAACATGAAAAAGACTAGCGCTCCAAGGAATGCTGCCCTTATACAGGAGAATGAAACAGAACCTTAGAATAATCCCTATTATAGACCAAACAAACCCCAAAGGTCTCCCAAAAAAAACATTCTCTTGTCAAGTGAACGAAGTGGCAACTCCAAAGGATATTGCCTAAATCCTTTGACGCCTTCCTACGAAGAATTCACCACTGTGGTCCCAACAAGAGGGAGGAATGCCTTTGAATCTGGTGCATAGTGTTAACACCCAATGCAAGACCTACATCCTTACTACCTGATCGAAAATGGGCATCATCTAGCAAAGAGATTAAGGCATAAGCATTTGAGGTATTCCTATTGAATAGAGGGTGACGTAATACAAAGTTGAATGAAGAGGAATTATCCAAGGAGAGTGGCAGAAGATACGGAAAGGCACGTAATACAAAGTTGAATGAGGAGGAGTTATCAAAGTAGAGAATGGTAGAAGACACAGAGCACAACCTCAAAGAAGAAAGGTGATAAATTTGGGGGAACACAAGACGAAAGGGTCTATCATCCAACTAAAAATCCTCCTAAAAATTAGTATACCTCCAAATCCCATGGTGGCCACCTACCTAGGATTTAATATCGTATGTGTTTCCTCGACAACTAAATATATTAGGGTCAGAAAGTTGTTCCGTGAAATTAGTCGAGATGCGTGTAAGCTGGTTCGGACATTCAAGTATACCAGCCATCCTCAAACGAAACATTTAATGAATTTAGAAAAGGAGGGGAAACACAAAGAAATCACTTTCCAAGAATTTATGGATGTGCCTTTAGACCCTCAACCTTCAACTTGAGACCCGTCTTAGAGGATGAGGACCGTACTAACTCATAATGACTATGCCCCAGAGGCTAGAAGGTTTGGCTCCCATGGGAATTGCCATAAGGCCCATAACCATTTGGTTGGTCTTATTGAAAAATCTCGAGTTCCTTTGTCCAACCCTCATAATTAATGAGATCACACTAAGTACTGACTGGAGAAGAGTTAATGTCCCTCTGGCCTCCCCCTTAGGGAAGAAAGTCATTTCCCAAAAGAAAGGATTTTCTAGTAGACTAGTCTTTTTTTAAAAAAAAATAAGAAACAAACTTTTCATTGATATATGAAAAGGAATATAAAATTTTCAAAGATACGAGCTCCAAAGGAGTGAAAGAGACAAAAAAGTAAAACAGTAAAGTAAAATACAGCCATAAGCCAAAATAAAAACGAGTGAATTACAAAGGCGCAATAAAAGCTTCCCAATTAGCGAGATCATGCTAGGAGAGTAGTTTGCAAAGATATTGGAAAGAGCACACCATTGAGAAGCTTTAAATTTGGCCATGCTGGAACATTCCATCGGATGCCTTTTGTGTCCAAAAATTCGCTGATTTCGCTCAAACCATAATTCCGAAATGAGGGCTTTTGAGCCATTAACCCAGAGAAGACTTGCTTTAGGATGCATGCGGGAGCCAAACATCAAGTGAAAAATCAATTTTGAGTAGTCCTTATCTAAAACCCAAGAGAGATTAAATAAACGCAGCAGTACAACCCAACAACCAGCTGCAAAAGGGCACAAAAAGAATGTGTGCATCTGATTTTCTTCAGCGCTCTCACTGAGAGCACAAAAGGAAGGCTGGAGAGCCAACGTGGGCATCTTTTTTCTGGAGCACCTTGGCTCTATTCACCTTACCATATAGCAGTACCCATATAAGCACGTTAACCCTTTCGGAACAGCAAGAGTTCCATAAATTAGAGTAAAAATCAGAGGGTAATTCAATAGAAAGAACTTTCGGTTTACAAAGGGAGCTGATAAAAAATACCCTAGCAGCATCTAGACTCCAAAAAATTTGGTCTTCATCAGCATGTAAAGAAATAGAGTTCAAAATTGATAACAAATCAACATATTCAGCTATTTCATCATCTTTTAAGTAATCTTTTAAACTCCAACCTCGAAGAAGATGAGGAAACATCCCAAACATCATGCACCAGATGAAAGAGTTTGAGGACACCCGAATAAGGAAGGAAACCTATCCTACAGATGATGCCAGTAGATACGTCTCCCATTCTTAACCTTGAAGGATGATAAATGCTTCACTAGATTTCATTGCTTTTGGATGTTGTACCATGTACTGCAACACCCTCCACTCCTTTTTTCCAAAGTGCTCCACCCAAAACCTTCAGTCCCATAAATGCTTGCAATTACAGAGCACCATAAAGCATTGATTTCCACAGTACACTGTTATCAAACTCCAACAAAATTAGGTTGTAAGAATATCAACTACCACCCAAGAGAGGAAAGAGGAAAGAGGGTCTCCTTGCTTAAGACCTCTAGTAGCTGCAACTCTATCTCTAGGCTTCCTATTAACAAGAAAAGGGTACCTCATTGTCCTAATATAATCCATGTACAAGATCTCCACTTCCACTTGAAACCCTTCTTTTCAAGAACATTATCCAAGAAATGCCAGTCCACGTGGTCCTATTAGAATGAATGTTAGGAATATGACTGATATAAGCCTCCAATTAATTTAACATATGCTAGGAGAGGCGCACGAGTGAAGGATACAGGATTGAGAGTGAATTAGTTAGTTACGGAGTAGAGGAATATTTTGTTATTGTATGGGAGGACTAGTTAGCCCCATTCGGTTATGCTTAGTATGGTCGTCCGTGGAGATTATGATAGGTCTTGTGTATTTTGGACCAGACCTCTCAAATTGTCTTTATGTGTTTCTGCGTTTTCCTCTTTCATATAATAGCATACCCTTGTAATACTTTCTCCCAATTGTTTTGCCAGAATACCATTAAGATATTAGGAGTATATTAGCCATTAGTTAGGTATTTTGTTGTGGGGTTTGTTAGTTATAAATCAAGTGGGTTTGAGGAAAGGCGTATATTGGGATTAATCTTGGAAGAAAATTGAGCCTCTTAAACGTTTAGGACCTTTGTAATTTTTATTTTTGGTAATATCAATAGCATTGTTCTGTTGATACTCCGCCCGGTTTGTGGTTACTGCTAGTGCCATTTTATCATAATAATAGCATATTCCAAATGTTTTTTCTTGTATATAAAAAAATAATCACTTGTTTGAATAGAACATTTAGTTTTATTTGTTAATGATGAATGAACTTGACAAACAGATGTATGAATGCCTTCTAGGAGCTTGGAGATTCGCAAGAAGGGAATGTTGGATCACCCAAAGATGTGCAAGCTACTCTTGAGATGAAACAATTGAGGATGGAGCTTCAACGAGAACGGGAACAGTTGGCAGATATGCAACTAAGATTACAAGGTTAGATTCTGCTCCTTAAAGATTCAAAGGCCTGCCTTTACTATTTTTGATATATACTACATGTTTATTGCGAATTCTTCTACCTTCATTGACTCTCTACTGCTCTTACTAGATATTGATCTGATTCTCTCTCTCTCTCTCTCTCTCTCTAACACACAGAGGAGCAAAAATTGAACAAAAAATTTCAGGAAGAGATGAATTCTCTGCAGATGAACAAGGACAAAGTAAGTATGAATTTTAGTCTCACTTGCAGTTGAAGTTTCAAACCGAATGTATACCTTATGTGTAATTTGTTCGCTTTTAATTTCATGTTCTGTGCAAGTGTCTTTGAGTTTATTAGCTTTGTCTTTCCTGTGGAAATTGTTATTTCCTCTCTGGTAAGGATTCGCAAGTCCCATGCATTCCCACATATCAAAGAGAATTACGATGTTATTTCCTTGTTCTTCCTGTGGCAAGCTCATAGAAGGTTCCTATCATCCTCTTATGGATCAGGTACCAAAGGGATGTAACTTTGTTGGACACAAGTCAAGCTGCTGGCTATATTTACAGGAGAATAAGAACTGTCGTGAACTGATAAACAGCTTCAAATGCATATTTGTTATTTTTTAGACACTATGAATGTACTAGGAATCTAAGGCTGTCTTCTGTGTGTTTTTATGACGTATTTCTTCTATAAATGTGCTGTTAGAAGTTAGAGCATAACTGTGCCTAGCCGAATATCTAGCATCACTGATTTATGATTTGCACAACTCACCCCAAGTCAACTGTTGAAATTGGGATGTGTCTTGCCGGCTATTCTAGGTTTAGAGGATGAATTGGAGCAGGCTGTGTCATGATTGCAGAGCTGATATATGTTACTTTCAGACCATTTCTTACTGGAGGTCACCTCATTCTTTTGATAATGTCTCTTGAAGATATAAATGCAGAATTTGTTTGTTAGTACGGTACTGTACCCGTCATACCTTTTTTAATGCTTGTTAACATTATACCTTTTCTTAAGCAGGCATCTTTTGAGATGAGCAGCATTCTAAGAGAATTGAATGAGAAGAAATTAGAAGTAAAGGAATTGCAAGTTGACTTGAATAGAAGAGAGAGTACAAAGTCTGATGATGATGTGGAGGGGTTGAAGAGAATAATTGCAAAATTGGAGAAAGAAAAAAGTACTCTGGAGGTCAGTGAATCATTTTTAGTTTTTGGTTGGGATAAGTGAGAAGCGCGTTTTTTATTTGTTCAAATTTCTATGTTCTCATTCTCTAATATTGGCTTCTTCCTTTCCTATCCAAAAAAATATTGGCTTCTTCCTATATCTTGTGAATAGATGGAAAAAAATGAACTTGAAGATGTTTTGGAGAAGAGCCGAAAATCTTCAAGTGTTGAAACTCCATCAAGTTCTTTGGAAATGATGAATAGACACCTAGGTAGTTCCAGTGAGGTAATTCTGATACAGATAATCTAATACGGTATTTCTTATGCTTACCAGCTATTCAGATTGTTTGATTATAATCACTGCAAATGTGGTTGCTTGTATGCTATTTATGTGCTGGATTTTCTTGCATATACTGGTTAATACATTGATAATGGTGTTGATCTTTTGTAGGTTGATTTTCTTTTGTCAAAATTTTCAGGATTACTCTTCTTATTATTTTCTTTTTCTTTTTTTAAGTAGAAATTAGGTTCATCTGGAATTTCCCCAGGAAAAGAAGATATGGATCTATCATTGCAAAAATTGAAGAAAGATATGAAGGAAATACAGCAAGAGAGGGATAAAGCACGGCACGAATTATCACGACTCAAGCAGCATTTATTGGAAAAGGTTCCTGTCTCAACTAGTTTTGTGGGCTAAATATTTCACTACAGTCCAATAACCTCTGGAGTCGTACATTATGTGCTATGTTATCTGAAGTGCATGTTCATCAAGCTTATGATAACTAAATTATGACTTGTTCTCTTTACTATTGATACCTTACTGTCATTAAGGTGGGTAACAGTATTCAAGTTTGCATTTCTTTTCCTAATTGAATCTGGTATATGATTAGGACTTTGGCCTCTTAAATGCATGAATTGAATTATTCTTATCCAGTTCGTTTAAGATGTGGATACTTTGGGATCTGGTTGAGGTCAGTGAATAGAACCACAAACTCTCAATTTTTTATTCTTTTTTAGTGTAGAAACTGTTATCCTTGTTGAGATTCAAATCTTCTTTTGGAAGAACAAGCTGCCCTTGATCAATTATGACTGCTATAGTTCCCCTAATGGAGGACCCAATCCTTGAATTTAATGATCGTATAGATGCATTGAGTTTTTATTATTGTAAATTATACCTCATACCATTATACAGGTTAGCATATGTGATGTATCAAGGTCCTTTATTGGTACTTGTTTACTATTTATATTCATGCAGACTGATGTTTCTTAGCTGCTCTTTGCAAATCAGTTATCATTGTTGATGCTACAATCTTTCTGCTTATATTCTTGTTGCAATGGTTATTGCAAAACTTCAGATCGGCTGTGTGTTAGCAATTAATAGAAACAACCATTAGAACTTGCTGTAGCTGAGTGGATTTTTATTTCTGGAATTCTGTCAAGGAATCTGAGGAATCAGAAAAGATGGATGAAGATAGCAGAGTAATTGAAGAACTTGGGCAAAATAATGAATATCAAAGGGCCCAGATATTGCATTTAGAGAAATCATTGAATCAGGCCATTACAACTCAGAAGGAGGTTGAGATATCCAGTAACAATGAACTTCAGAAATCTAAGGAAATTATTGATGACCTTAACAGAAAACTTGCAAACTATATGAGTATTATAGATTCCAAGAACGTTGAACTATTGAATCTTCAAACTGCACTCGGTCAGTACTATGCAGAAATTGAAGCCAAGGTGAAGAAAAATTTAATTTAATTTAATTTTGTAATAACTTATAGTTATGTTCCAAGGATGTCATAGCATGCCATTATTCGATTGTGCTATAATTTTGATCTTACTTAAGGTATGTTTTTGTTTATAATTTTAATCTTACTACGAATTTTAGGAACACTTGGAGAGTGATTTGGTTCGGGAAAGAGAAGAAGAAGCTAAATTGTCTCGAATGCTAAAGGTATGCTGTTCTCACTCTTTCGATTATGCGTACTGTCATGAATAACATGTCTTGGATTTTTAAGTGGGCTATCTTTCTGTTTTTTTGTTTGTATGTACATTATAGGAATCAAACAATTTGGGTCGGGATGAAGTGTTTGTCCCTGTAGAGATCTTTAATCTCTATCTTAGCTCCATTTCCTGTTTTTCGAGAGTCCCCTCCTTTGGTCTTTATTTTTAATTCAAATTGTAAATTAATTCAATGTTAATATATAAAAAGTATATATTATTGAGCCAAAAATTGGAAACTTAATTTTTTTTATTACTAATTAGTTTATATAGTTAAATTAATAAAAATATTTACTATGTATAAATGAAAATAGTTAATAAATATGTGTGTGTGTATATATATATATGATAATAATTGGTGCTGGGTGTCACAACCATACTAGTAGAGAGTAGGTTGTGACGCCCACGTAGTGTGCAAGTGTCAGCGACAAGCATATGTCGCCCATCGGGCCATGTCAAGGGCCGAGAGTGAAGTGCCGTGATGCGACCAAGGAGGATGGTGTATCACCTATCACACCATATGGATGTGCTCAAGAATGCCTAGAGAAGGCATATGCAGAATACAAAGCGAAGGCGACGTCAGTGGTGTCGGTGACAAGCTCAACGGGGCCAGTTGGGGCCCCGGGCCACGACCCTAGAAGTTGGGGTTCCGTCGAGAGTTAGGACGAGCGGCT